ACTTAATTATTTTTTAATTTTTATTTATAATTATTTACATTACTTACATTATGTTAACTTATATAATTTAAAAATCAAATTCTTAAAATTTATTGAAATAAACTATTTAAATTGTTGAATTTAAATAAATGAAATTTAATATAAAAAAAAAATTATTCTGATAATTAAAAATATTCTTTATCTGGCCATTTTAATCTTTTTATTAATATGGATGTAATATAAAATTCTATTATGATTTTTTCTAAAAGTGAAAATTTTAACTCGTAAAACCAAGCATATAGATAACAATTATTTATAGATTATTTATAGATCTCTGTTCACTAATTCAACATTTTTTTTATATTTTAAAAAAATCCTTTAAAAGGATTCTTATTTCTGATAGATCTAATATAATCAAGAAATAATATTGGCCAAAAATTTTATATTCGTAAATAAATTCGAATAGTTCGAATGACAATAAATGAATTAGATGAAACATATATTTTCAATTAAAAAGATCGTCAAATGACTGCAATCATAAAGTCATTCCATTGTAACTAATTGACAATTGACGATTAAAAATATCGTACAAATCTATTTTCATTTTTTTGATTCTTATTCCACTTGGATTCTTCATTTTCATATAGTGAATCTATATATTCACATAAAAAAACTTTTAAGCATGTTAATTCAAAACTAATATAAGAAGCAATGCAATAGAAAATATGCAGCTCCAATTATTAGATTCTATTTCGATATATCTACTTTTTAAAATATAATCAATAGAATTCACATTTCATTATTGAAAGTCTCAAAAAAAAAAAAAAAAAATAGAAAACAAATGATATGCGTAACAATAATAATAAGAACAGTTTACCCTCAAACAACACAGGTTTTGTTACACGCAAATATTTTTTGACAAATTTTAGAGTCATATATCTATAAATTATAAATTACATTTCACACACATGCACAATATTTTCCATTGGATTCCAATTGGATCCATTCATACATACATATAAATAAATATATTTATATGTATATGTATATATATTATACCTATATATATATTTTTTGTCTTAATCACTTTTCTAATTAATTTTTTAAACTTATTTTATTGTAAAAATATACATTAAATATATAATAACACATATACATACATAGTATGTATACAAAATAAAGTTTATTGTTCAATAGTTCAAAATTATTGTACAGTTAAGATCTTTAAGATGAAAAATTTTATACAAAATTTTATACAAAATCTCGATTATGCAGAAATTTGACATTTCTAACCTTCATGTTGTTTGAGGGCTATCTGTACGCCAAAAATAAAGGAAATAACTATAATAATGTATATAAAATTATGTGACCGATTTTATAGCATTGGAGCAATTACATATTTAGTATTAACTATAAATAAAAATATTAAGAATAATTCTTAATAGTATATAACATTTAAAGCAAATTTAGAAATATAAAATTTAGTATATTCCAAACAATGCATATATATATTATGAAGAAATTTTATATATCAATTCATGATTTTCGATTCTGAGATTCAAAATATTTGATAATTATACAATATAAAAAAATCAACTCCAACGATTTTGATTTGCATATATGTAAAGAAAATAATTTTCAATATTTGTGAAAACAATTTAATTAATGTTTAAAACTTTTAAATATTTGATATTTGTTAAAATGTTATTTTAATATTTGTTATTTGTTAATAATAAAAATTTTGATAAATATTTACAAAATAATCACATTTTCTGATTTCAATAGGATATGTTTTTTGATATTTGTTAAACACAACATTCACACATAACATTCTAAATAATTTTTCACACATTCATTTATATAATCATTTTATTTTAAGATAAGATAAACAAAAAAATTTTTAATACTATATATTTAATATTATTTTTTTTTTTTTATACAATTTAATCAATTTTTAGATTAGACTTCAATTTATAACATCTAAAAAATGTTATAATCAATTTTATTCATTTCAATGTATTCATTTCAAAATATAATTCATTTCAAAATATAAACATATATTGGATTTTATATTTTTAAATTTTTTTAATTAAATTAATTGATTAAATTTTTTCACAATCTATAAAGAACAATTTTTTAATTGATTAAATTGATGATTAATTTTTTATTGTTTAGGAAGTTTTTTTTAAGAAGTTTGAAAAAAATAACAAAGAAGAAAAAAAAATGAGGAAGAAAATAAATGAAAATGCAAAAATAGATAAAGGAAAGAGAAAAGGAAATGATAGAATAAAGATAAATTAAAAAATGAAGGGAGAAAGAATAGAAATATAATGAATAAAATATATGATACATTCTTAGATCTAATTTAATTTAATATAAAGTTAAATTTAAAGAAAATGTGCAATAGTATTAAGAAAAGCATATAAAATAAAAGAAATTAAGATTAAAATAATAGAATAAAAGAATATATGTATAAATAAGAGAAAGATAAGTGTCCTAGAAGAAGAAATAAAAGATTGACACAAATTTACAAAAGAACTTGTAAAGAATAAATAAAAAAATAATTTTTCTTTTGAATTATCAAAACTTTTTGTTAATAATTTTCTAATAAATAATAATCAATAGTTAAAACTTTTTGAAAATTATTCAGAATTGTTATTTCTTTCAGATTATTAAAAAGTTAAGGTCATTGGAGCTGATTCCAACTTAAACTATATAAGTACCAAATATTTTTAAAAGATGTTCTAAATATGATTATTATCAATAAATATTATCTCGTAATATATCTAATTTACGATCTGAATATATATTGCATTTATTATACTATGTACAGAGTTCCACTACAATTCACGAGAATGCGCGGAAATACATTCATGTATACGAACGCACACAACAATAAAATAAATTAATTTCATTATTATGGACACATAATATAATTATATTGCAGAAAAATTGTTCATGTGAATACGAATTATTTAGAATAATATTACTGTTTCAATAGATATGTAGATATTCACACAAACAATGAAACGAATAAATTCTTATGAGGAAAAATACGAATATATACGAATTTTTTGTCAAATGTTGTCGAATTTAAAAGAATACGCATTTAAAAAATCTCTTATTAAAATTTTTATTAAGAATGAGATGTACCATAAATATTCAATTAAGATCTACTAAGTTCAATGAAAAAGTTTTCTAAGTATTTTAAATTAAGAAATACATAGCAAAAATGACTTTTATCCAATTTTAATCATGAATTGTTAATTCATATAATTTTATGATTAAATATAATATTTCTGTAATATAATCACATATAACTAATAATTGTATAATAATATATTATAAATAATAATAATAATATATTATGTAATAACATTGAAGTAATAATATATTATGAATACTTTCATAAAGAATACTTAAATTTATTGAATAAAAATTAAAATTGTTACATGAAAATTGACAAAAGTCATTTTTGTTATGAATTTTTCAATCATCAAACATTCTATTATAAGAAGTTAAGAAAAGTATCATAATTTATAAGTACTTAAAATTAGAGTTGTATGGGATTCCGATTGGAATGGAAAAATTGGATGGGCTTAAACAAAATTTCGAAACTTTTATATTGTTGTTATTCCAAAAAATTCTAGATATGAACAATATGAAAGTTTTGAGATTTCATCTGATCGCATCTAAATTAGTCCATAATTTTGGAATTCCTCCAATTTTTAAATATATCTTTAATTTTAAATATTTATAAATTTTTCAATTATATTAATGTAACAGAATGTTTTTGATGATAAAAAATCTGTGAAAAAAATAAATCTTTTTAAATTTTTATTCTTTTTTTTTATAAAGAGATTTCAAAACTTTCAAAATTCCGAATAAATATTAAGATTCCCACACACCTCTAAAAATTTATAAATTCAATGATTTTCATGCATTAGACTCGTTAATTTTTCAATTGATTGTAGCATGAACACGAGCGAAAAATCAAACTCGTTTTAACATATCGAAAATTTGTGCATCATTTAAACCCAACTATTTTTTAGAATTTTTAACCATATGTATAAGAATTTATTTGTTTGATTGTTCGCGCGTATAAAAATAAATACATATCTACTAAAATAGTACCTTATTTCAGAAGAGCGACTCGTGTGAATTTATATCCATTGTAACCATATAGACATTCTCTGTAGATAGCTTATACAATGATAAATATACAACATTTCTGAAGATAGTCTGCGATCAGTTGATGAAGGTCTATAACATATAGATACATAATATATATATATATATATATATATATATATATATATATATATTATATTATT